GTGTATACATCAAATCCCTAACGAGTCGTATTTACGATGCCCGAAAAGAAAGGTATATCTGGTCGTGAAATTTTCACTAAATTGTTTTGATGGAATTTGTGGAATTCTTCGTAGAATAGTTTACACAGTTGTTTAACAACAACAGAAAAAAAAGTGGATTTTCCGAGAATCTGCCATTCATGTATTTGGTTGTTGCTGTTGTTTTATTCATTGTTATTTTATTTTCGCATGTCTACTTTAAAGTTTTAAATTTTTTACAACTAACATATAGGCATATGCACGTGTAATATATCAAATAACTTTTTTACCGAAGAAAAAAAGTTTTAAAACCAGACAAATTAAAAAAAATTCTTTCATGGTACCATTATTATCCCAAAATATTAAAAAAATATATTTCATGGTACCATTATTATCTCAAATATAAAAAAGATATTTCATGGTACCATTATTATCTCAAATATAAATAAAATACTTTCATGGTACCATTATTATCCCAAATATTAAAAAAAAATATTTCATGGTACCATTACTATCCCAAATATAATCACAAAATACTGTTGTTAGTCTTCAACAGTGTCACACAAAGCCGCGCATATGGTTCGAAGGTTCATGCAGTGGCGTAAGTATGCCTCCGCAGCCCCCGCAATTGTTGGAGGGGGGAGCCATACGGGGTCCCGAAGAGTCTGACAAACTTACGAATTTCCGACAAAGGGAGAGACATATAATATAATTCAGGCGGTTGCACTATTCTGTTAAGTTCATGATATCAATCAGCCAGAATCGTAACTACATGTACAATTATAGGGAAATAAATGTAGGAGGCGCATTTACTCCTTATGTGGGGGTTGCAGCTTTTGTAGCTACTCTATTGGATTTATGTTTAGAGCTTGGGTTTTCGGCCACGAGCACAACTGTTGCATTTAATAAATCGTTGTAAGAACCTAAATAAATTAGACTTGACATTGTATGAGTATTAACTAAGCAAGTTCTTACTGAATGTGGTACTGATAGCTGAACACACGTGGGATAGTAACAAGCACGTGCTCGACTAAATCTGACAGACGATGGTGTACATACGTTAATCACTGGTAAAAAAAAGAAAGAAAACAGGTCGACTAACATTCAGTCACAAGTTCTTAGAATTATTAGTGGATGTATATTCCCTTCGGCGATGTGGTTGCTTTACACGCTGGGGGTTTGTTTGTTTGAAGTTAAGCACAAAGCTACACAATAGGCTATCTGTGCTTTACCCACCACGGGTATCGAAACCAGATTTCTAGCGTTGTAAGTCCCCAGACATACCGCTGTGTCATTGGGGGGGGGGGGCACGCTAGGGGAACAAGAAGACAAACTAGTACGGCACTATAGTGCCAACCTAGTACCCCATAGTTTTGTTGTTATCTCGTCTATAAACCTATAGTTCAAAATATCGAAAAAGAAAATTGAAAGACTTTTTTCCTGTACGTTTACTGTCAAAAAATTTGGTCAGCTTCGTGTTTCTGTTAGTACGGCCCCCAGTGGCACAGTATGTCTGCGAAGTTACAGCGCTATAAACCGGGTTTCGGTACCCGTGGTGGGCAGAGCACAGATAGCCCATTGTGTAGCTTTGTGCTTAATTACAAACAAATAAACAAACTGTTAGTACGAGCACGTCTCGCATTAATATTTAGTCGCGGAAATAAAGTATTTTTATCTGCAACGTTCAGAAATATCTGCCCATGAATGACCCTTAACTCCCTTATAGGGTCCATGTCGATAAAACTGTTCACAGGGTCCATGTCGATAAAACTGTTGATAGGGTCCATGTCGAGAAAACTGTTGATAGTGTCCATGTCGAGAAAACTGTTGATAGGGTCCATGTCGAGAAAACTGTTGATAGTGTCCATGTCGAGAAACTGTTCCACAGGGTCCATGTCGATAAAAATGTTCACAGGGTCCATGTCGATAAAAATGTTCACAGGGTCCATGTCGATAAAAATGTTGATAGGGTCCATGTCGATAAAACTGTTGATAGGGTCCATGTCGAGAAATCTGTTCACAGGGTCCATGTCGAGAAATCTGTTCACAGGGTCCATGTCGATAAAACTGTTGATAGGGTCCATGTCGATAAAACTGTTGATAGGGTCCATGTCGATAAAACTGTTGATAGGGTCCATGTCGATAAAACTGTTGATAGGGTATGTGTCGATAAAACTGTT